AGCACTTTGACGGAAGAGATGGGAAAAGTAGCAGCAGCGTGCGAAAGATTGTTCCTCCGTCGAACGCTGTTTGAAACGAACCAGAAACACCTTAGAGTCTGTGAAAGGTCTCTTCAGCCCTACAGGTTTTTACATTTGAAGCAGGGGAAATCCGGTATCGAGCATTGGTACGAATGGTCACCACAGTGAGATATCGTTATGCACGTCATCAGTCATCCTACTTTTTTCTCTCGTCGTCATGCTCTAATAGCTTTCTAACATTCCGCATCGCTTCCTCTCTATAAATTATGATACTGTAATATTTCAAAAATCATTCTCGCTAATTATTCTTTCCGATCATAAAGAACCATGTAAATTCCAGTTCAGAAAACACTTTTGTAGCACACATGGAAAAAGAAATGGTGGGTTCATCTGATGGGTTCACCAAGACTGTTTCAGAAACGCCAAGTTGGCGCTATCTAAAGCCCCTATTGTCTTCTGATGAAGTGCAAAAGATTGGGATGTTGCTAAGTTCATATCACTTTGAATTAGTTGCTATTCTAGTAGACTTCCAGGAAACTTTTGGGATGAGTCCCAGAACATTTGAAAAAACGGACATTGTGAGCCAGGGGTAGGAGACGATTGCTATACCTAGAAGATGTAGAGAAAGTTTCTAAGCGGCCTGAAAACTCTCCATGAAAGTTGCTTCTACCATAATCTCGCCAACTGTCCCGTCGAAATGCTCCCAGTTCTATGACAACCCATTAGCATCAGTACCATTTTCCCTGCTCCCAAACTGGTAATGATGCAAATGGATTGACATGGAGTGCAACACACTTTCAATGAACCAAAAATAAATTCATTTAAGCTTTTAAACATTTATTTCATAATAAACCTTATTCATTTACCGTATTTCATTCAATTGCTACTAATTTCACTGTGGTTTCGCCCACATAAACACCAGTTGGCTGGCCTGTAGCGAAGCTCTCTTTTGGATCTTCACCTGTCGGAGCCGCTGCAAACTGGATTCTCAGGTTCTCATCAGCTGGCCTACCTTTCTGAAGTCGTAGCGGTTATGGTTCAAAAATCGGTGGGCACTGCAGATGGACTCTTACATTTCGATAAAGGACCACATCAATCTTTCCCCACTGAGGAATAAAACCATACATTTGTTCAGGTTTAGCTGAGAAATTTGAATTTGGAGCAAAGATAAACTGAAAAAGCTATTTTCACGGAAAGAACTAGTTAAAGACTGGGAGAATAGGTGAATCATAGGCAGAGACCGAGTCACCTTGTAAGCTACTCTCATAGCGCTATGATTGGCGAGCTTCTTGGTGGAACCAGCTGGTGAAACCAAGACGGAGGTTCTCCGAGGCTCGAAGAATACCACATCACCCATTGTGAATAAAAATGGTTTTCATACCTAACTGGCAGAACTTTTATAGCAAAGGTTACGGTCTTATCGGCAATTCTGAAGTGATCATAACAGGTGCCGGTCGTAGTCAAGCTCTACACTTTCCATACGTCAACAGGAAGCGATTATTTTCGACCCTTACTCTATGATCGAATGGAAGAAAATGATGGGAAAGGAAGCATGCCGGCATGATGACTGATCGAAATGAAGCAGTACCAGGTGGTTGTAAAATCTTACCAAAACCATTTCAAGCAGTCAGCTGGTTGCTTACAGGGGTGCCGGAAGTTAGCGCTAGCAATAGGTCTTGGAGGCTAAAGAGGTGGTGCCCGAAACAGGGCTACCCACATGGTCGTGTCTGCTTCACTGAGGGGGAAATGGACATCATGCAGGGCATCAGGCAATTCCTATGAAACTGTTTCTCATACCACTTGAATACAATTGTAGTATGGTTCACAGGTTCCCGTCAAAGGTTTCAGTCAGTAGAATTTCGTGAATGTCCGGAATGGCCACTGTGTAGCTCTTCTGATAGCCAAGAAGCTTGGCTGTTCTCAGCTTCCTTCCCAGAGATACTCAATTTCGATCAGCTTTGTTCAGGAATACGCCATACATTCGACTCCTTTTGCAATCGCAGAAGTCTAGATGGGAATTCGCTCACACAACGTATTTGGAGGAACAACCTAGGTAAAACTTGCAGTTCGGTTTTAGTAATGCTACTACCACTTCTCCCCACCTCTTCCATTTGCACAACTCTTCCCAAAATTTGATCCCTTTCCCCTGTACCGATGTTATGCCGTTTCATCCAAAAGCTGAGCACTACAAGCGATTTGCAATCTCGGATTAATAATGGATTAAAAATATATGGTTATATTTTTTAGAGTACGTATTAGAACATTGTGCTGGTGAAGATTTCATAAAATGCTGTAGAGGGGTTCAAGAATTATTGTCCGATCTTTCACCGC